ATTTAGTTAAGGTGAAAGTCGAACCTTGAAAAATCACAATCAATTTAGATTAAATTACAGCTATTAACTGGACAAACAAACAAACAAACTGGAAACACAAGCTGAATAAGATAAACGGTAAGTAAAACCATTTTTTAGATGACAATTGAATTGAAATGAGCATAATACTGATTGTTGAATTTCACTGTTGATACAATAAGATGAAATTGTTGATGATTTGAGAAAAATGAAAACCTTGATTAACCATTATTAACCATTATTAAGGTGGTTAAAGATTTCAATTTGCAATGCATAATTAAAAAAAGTGTTGATTTTCAAGTTACACCTAAAATTGTTACCAATAGTCTTAAAAATGTCGCCTTTGTATTTCAATTTTCAAGTGGAGCGTAATTTGATTTTTTAATAGATAAATTTTTTCCCGATTTTTGTTATTTAAACCAAGAAAAAATCAAGATCATCATTTCAATTTAATTTATACACAATTTATTGATCCCAATTGATTTGATTTTTAACCTAACAACGTTTTACTGCTATCAATTGCATCATTAAATAAGAGTAAAAATTTAAATCTAATCGCGCGAGTGGAAGAGAGTTGAATTAAAAATGAAGGTGAAGTGAATCAAGAAATCAAGATTAAACAAAAAAATCTATCGATTATAAATAATTAAGGAAATGAATTACGTTTTATACAATCCTTTAAGCATGATTATGTCAATAATAATAAAATAAATGAAATGATAATGAGTACAGCATTAAGTTAACTAACATCTTAAATGAAATTACGAGTCCAAAATGAGAGGAATCAACGATTCAAATCAAGATTGATTGGAATGATCAAAACTGAAAAATTGAGACATCAAAAAATACCAAAGATAAACATTCAAAAATCATGAAACAATCAACAGGCAAAAAGAGATGATTTGCTTTCAGGGTAAACCATCTTGATGTTACATTATTTTTCATTTACATTTGTTTCTCATCGATTAATATTGATTACAGGAATTAATAATTATCCATTATCTTGATCGATGTAAGGTTGAATATAAGGTTTTAAGCGTAAATCTTTCTGTTCAATTGGTCAAGTCCAAGCCATCATAAGGAAACGTATAAAATGGTTTATCCAGCTAATTTTTCCTAATTTATTTGTTCGATCTTTAGTCAATGCTGAGTTTGACCATTTAAACATTGAAAAATCAACGCCATCAAATTATCCAATTTCATCGGTTAATCACAATTTGATTGTAAAAACAACAGCAACAACACCAGTATAGAAAGGTATACAGAACAGCTTAACACAACAGAAGGGTAACACTTTTGTTTAGCTTGGAGCGTCCAAGAATTTTAAATTTTTTAAAAACAAACATTAATTATTAAACAATTACCAATAAAATGGTTAAATTGTATCACCAGTAAAATTGTAAATCCTTGTAAATCATAATTAAAACATGTTAATTGTCATTAAAGCAAAAAGCAGAAGGACTATTGAAACATTAAAAAAAGACAAGACAATATTGGTCGATTACATTAGAGTGGCAATAAAAACCCAATAGAGGGCAGAGTTGAACAAAAAAACGAAGGTCTAAATTGCTTGAATTGAATGATGACAATTTTCAAGGTTTTAAATGAAATCAACCTTCATTGATTAATTAATTATCTGTTCCAATAATTAGTTCACTAAATTTTACCTCAAATGTAGATATTGAATAAAACCAAGTGTCAAAAATTAAAGGCCAAGCTGACAAGTCAAAGGTAAGTCAAGAAACAAAGACAAGGCCAACCATATTAACAAAGTCAACCTACAAAAAGTCAAGTCTTAGGTTTGGCTTGATCAAATAGATTCACCTCCTTAGTGTAAATCAATTGATACTCTCGATGATTTTTGAAAATTAATTAAATCAAGATTAACAATATATTATTTGACAATAGGCAAGTTAATTGCAATTCAAATTTCCTCCCATTTCACTAACCCCAAATGACCTGAATCTGGTTGTAAGGTGTAAAAATATTACACATTTAAATGTATTCAATATCACTTTGAATAAGCAACACAAAAATGGTTAAACCCTAAAAATCAGACCAAATTACAATCAAAATGACAACCTTGAAATAAAGGTGAGTGCAAATATGAAATATTAATAGTTGAATCAAGAAATTAAAATTGATTAACCAAAAGTAAAGTCAAATTGTAGGCCATTAAACGAATCAAAACAAAAGCAAAATCTTTGACCGATCAATGTAAACCAACAGAATTGATTTTTAATCAAACTATGAAATGTTTTAATTGAAACACATTTTAACCAAGTTCCGGAAGACTCATGAATGAATCTGATGCAGATGATCAAATTGAGTTTATCACAACACTTGAACAAAATGATTGACTGATTTCAAAGTAAACGTCAAATTTAATCAACTGTGATTAAATCAAGATAACATTTAGGCCTTGCTCTTGCCCGATGAATTGCTGTATTTTGTCTGTTTATCAACAGCTTCTTAACATGATTAACATTGATAGGTAGGTGTATTGATTAACAGAATTATAATGAAAAAATAATTTCTCGTTAACCTCTTCTCACCTGAATTTGATGACAATCATGAATATTCAGTGTTTCAACAATAGCAGGGTAAAAGCTCAATCAGATTATTTTCTCAATTTTGATAAGTTCGCGTTCCAATCTAATGGACTGTCATCAAAGGAAAATCTTTGTTATTTATGATTAAATTGATAAGCAATCAGTCAAGGAATCTCAAGTTTGGCAAATTAAATGTTTCATGAAATGGCGAGTCTGTTGCATGTATTTAAAACCAACGCAATTTTCAGATCAACTTTCAACTGTTTCCCGATCACAATAAGGTTGCAGTATCATTAACATCTTGTTAACTATTAAAATAAATCAGATTAGATTTGCTGGTTTTGAATAATCAAATTTTTCTTCTTCTCGCGTTTACTATTTTGGCTAACTGACCATTTTGTTATAACAACAACAATTAACCAACATCGTCCTACACAATTAATCAAAAGTTAAAGAGTGTAAAAAATTTGACCAATTTTTCAAACTTTTAATCACGAACTTGATTTACTCACCTTTAATCAATCGATGAACCACAATTTAATCAAATTAAACCATTAATATTTTAGATTCATCAACTTTTCCCTCAAATCTTTTCCTTACCAAATGTCCGTTCTCAGGCCTTTAAGCTTTTCCTTTATTTGTTTTTTAATGTAACTAAAGCATTGATAGTGAAACAAATTGTAACTCGAAGTTGTCCAACTCATGACTGATAAACTCATAGTTAATTGAGTTGCAGATCTATGGCTAACTGACTCGACCAATTCAATCACTTGAGGTAATCAATGGCTGATTGCTTACGGAAACGTTTGAGGCTTTAGGCTTCAGATTGAAAAGGCTGGTGTAACAACATGATTGTAACTCTTTTCATTCAAAAGAGTAGTTTGTAGTAAAATGTTTGAAATTGATATCGAGTAGCTGATTAATTTAAAATATTACAGAGAGATTTCCGAGTGAAAACAAAAGTAACTGAATTGATAAATATTAATATTAAACAGTTAAGCAGATAAGCATGATGAAAAGTCGTCAGATGAACGTCTTGAAGATAATTAAAGCTCAAATGGTAAGTCAAGTAAACTACGAGCAAACGAAGGGAACTGTTGGGATGAGCTTGACGGTAAAGGAGATCGACCTGGGTCACACTATTGTTGTACTGAAGGGTTCAAATAATTGACTTGCAACAGTTTAATAACTTTAAGATTTTAACAAGTGTTGATGCAACATTATTGATCAACCGTCGATTTTAAAGGAAAAGGAAACAGCATTCATGCAGATATCTGAACTGAGATAGAATTGAAAAAGTTAAGCTAATGACCAATGGTCATGATGGAGAAACAAATCAGAAGTATCAAAGGTAAGAATTGGATTTTGCCTAGAATCTGATCTTGCCTTATCTTTTTTAATGAAGAGTTGAAGTTGAGATTTCAATATATTTTTAGGTTAAAATTGGTTGAACCAGCATCAGGTTAACTTGATTGTTTCATTTGAATAAATTTTCATCGGATCATTTTCAATTATTGAATTTATGTTGTGAATAAACATTTTTAGGCGAATATTTTTTCTTTACCAAAGTTTATCTGATTTCTGATGAAATTTTCACTTTTACCTGGACATTAATAGACAATGATAATAACAATAATTACTGAAGCTTATAATTTGAAAAGTGAAAAAATTTGAGTTTGAATAATTTTATCATCAATTTTTGACCTACAAACCCAGAATTGACCATTAATACGATTGGTAAACGCAAATATAGTTGGCCTTGGTCAGGCAACAGGTAAAGACATAAAAGTTAAGGGCAACAGCAATGAGGATTAACTTTGAAAAATTGAAACTTGTTTCAACTTTCACTTTTGTCTGTCTCCAATTTTCAAGCAATAAGTCCACTTACCATCATCATCATCATCATCAACATCATCATTTTGAATGTAAAATGTTTACCTTACGGCTATAAATAATAGCATCAAGTAGCACATAAAACAGGCTCATGATGAAAGATGAAGGTGATGAGGAAAGAAGACGAAGAAAAGCAAATTTGAAATTGAACTCAATATTATTGAACTGTCTCAACTTCAATTCGAACTAATGTCCAGATAAAGAATGATGATGAAGAAGAAAAAAAGATCGATACATTATACGATAATTTTCATCTTCATTCTCCCTTCCATGATGATGAGGATGATAAAAGCAAAAACTGGCAAAATATTTTCATCTGAACCTCACCCCAAAAAGGTAATAATATTGAGGTTTAAACACGCGTTTCCACACGTTATAGGGATGGGCTTTGATTCGGCATTTTTTTACCTTCTTTTCTCTCTTACCTTCTCTTTCTTGTTTACTGTCCATTCATTTTCACTTTCAACTTTTCGTTAGGCGTAACCATCGTCTACGAAAATCGAAACGAAAGCAGATTAGAAAGAAAAACAAAGAAAGGAAAAAAAAGTTTCTTTCATTTCACTTTCACTTTGCCTCCTTTTTCATCATCGTCCAGTCTCACTTGATTTTGAGCAAAGTGCCAAAGTGCCTAAGTAACTTAGATAATTATTTCGAGTTTACCATTTATACTTTGTTGGTCAGTTATTTATGTTGAATGTTAAAACATAGTTGATCAGTTTTGCTCAAGTGTGTTGATTGGTTGATCCAAGCTTAGCTTGGCTTTTTTTCTCGTCATAAATTCATAGTGTTTCCCAGTTGAACTGAATTGAACACAATCGTTAACCATGAAGTTATTAAAATTATCAAGTTGCTTGCTCATCACCTTTTTGTGCAGCCAAACTGTTTCAAGTCAATTTTTTGATCCCTCACAGTTTACCAATAGTGACCCACGTCAATCACCTTTACCGTCAAACTCACCTCAACACTTCCCTTCATTTGACCGTGGATTATTTGGTTCACAATCATCTTCACCTTTTCGTTTTTTCCACTCACCCTCATCACCCTCATCTTCAAACCTTCAAACAATCCAATCAGGTGACCCTTCAAACCCAAGTTTCACTCGATTCGGATCCTTCTCAAGGCCTTTAACCTCAGCACCAGAAGGTTTACCAGCCGATGAAATTTCAGCTCTTAACGAAGCAAACTCTCGGTTCATCAATCCATTCACACAACCTCAAGCCCAGTCATTGCCTCAACTCAACCCAAGACCCAGTCAACCCCCATCAGACTCTGCCTTTACTGGGCCTGGCAACTTCAACAGTCAACCCTCACCATTGGGTTTACCTTCACCTCAACCAGCCTCACCATTAGGGTTGCCTCAACCCAATGAGGAGAGACGCTTCAACGGTGAACCCGGGGTAGTTTATGAGGAAAATGAAAATGTAAGTCTTAATTTGTTGAAATTTACTCGCTTGAAAGAAGTGTAAAAGATAATTTAAAAAGTTAATTGATCAAATTCAATGTTAATCAGACTAATTATTTACTGATGAAAATTTAATGATACTCAATGACATTGAATGAAACAATCAAGTTGATCACGTTTTGTTTGAATTGAAAGCAACAGCAAAACAAAAGGTTGCTTCTGTTTCAATTTGTTCAAACAAAATGATTTATTTTTTTCATTATTGAATTGTATTTTTGCAGGTAAAAATTAAAATCTCCTGATAACAATCATGAACATGAATTCAGGAAAATTAAGGTGATAAATTATCACAGTAGTTGGTAGCTAAATTATCGTGATTTAGATAACATTTAACTGTATTCAAATAACCTTTAAAGTGTTTTAAAATACAACAAAAAAAACATTTCTTTTTTGGTAAACTTTCATTTCTTGATTTCAATAACTTTTCAAGTTATCAAATAAGATCATCAGCAGTGAAACAAGAAAGGATAATTTATTTATTCAATTCAGTTGAATAGTAATCATTAATTGTTATCAAGCTTCTTCATTGTTCACCTCTTTCTGACTGTTTAATCAATAGTTTAATAAAATTATTGGATGGAAAGAGTTGATCAATTTGATTGCAAGAAAACAAATTGTTTCACTTGATGGTCAATTGTTGTTTCCATTAATGTTATTGCCCTTTACTTGTTGACGGTTTTTGATTGTTTACCATTTGATAAGAAAGTTTCTTAGATTCAACTGATTAGTCTTGATTCTCATCTATTCATTCATTGTAAATGGTCAAGTTTCCTGAAACAAAATTTGAATAATAATAATGTTTGCTATCAAAATGGAATCATCTTTTTCTCATCAATTTTACCACCTTTCAATTAACTTTGGTCAATTTGCTTAGTTCATCTTGATTCTGATCTTTATTTTCTTGTATAAATTTCATTTACAGGCTGAACTTTCATCGCAAGGTCAACCACAATTTAGACCTCAATTTAGACAGCAACATTCATCTCAACCTTTTGTGAACCCAGAATTTTTCGGCTTTGGCAATCAGCAACGTCCACCCACCTCTGGTGAACAAGCTCGACCTCAGTTGCCAATACCACAGCCTCAAGAGCAACCTCAACCTCAACCTCAGTCTCAGCTATTCCAACCCCAAGAGCAGCCTAGATCACAGTTTGCACCACCTCAAGTACCCCAGCCACAGTTGAACCCACAACTCGAAGCAAACAATCAGCCACAACTCTCACCTGAAACTCAATTCCAACCCCAACCTCAAACATCTCAGCCTCAGTCACCACAATTAGCTGTCCAACCTCAGCCACAGTTTTCAGCTCAACCACAGTTTCAACATCAACATCAGCATCAACCTCAACCTCAACCTCAACCCCAACCTCAACCTCACATACCTCAACCACAAACACAGCCAGAACTTCAATTTCCTCCTCAGCCTCCATCAAACCCACAATTTCAATTCTCATCTCAGTTTCAACCACAATCCCAGCCTCAACCTCAACCTCAACCCCAGTCACAACCCCAGCCACAGCCACAACCACAACTACAACCTCAACCACAGTTTCAGTCAAATTTCCAATTCACTCCTCCTCAACTTCAACCACAGACTCAACCACAGGCTCAACCACAACTTCAGCCCGAGATCAATCA